GCTTCTCTTCTTGTGAAACATTTATTCAACATTATAGCGCATTGTTTATGCACCACATTGCAATAAAATGTGTGCCTGCATCATTTTATCGCAATGCACACCAACACATGGCGCTCTAGATCGGGCATTACTTCCACGCATAGGTGTGAAACCAACCTCCAGATTTTTAGTTGCTTATTTACAGTTTTGTATACCTTTGATTTTCACCATTTCACAAAAAGGTACAATTTAAAATGTACAAATATTTTTTGTTTATTAGCAATAATGTATCCTTTTAAATGTGCCTAGGTCTTCCATGGTATCCCTAATAATAAGCTGCAATGCTTCCTATATGAAAACCACTATGAAAATAATTTATACTACCCTTGCATCGTGCTCTACTGAACAAATTAATTATACATACATATATCCACTACAAAATCTACATAAATCCACTACACAAAATATACATACACATGTTGTTTAATTGATGCACACTGGAAATATATGTATTGAGAGATACTGTATATATATGTTGTTTTATGATTGTTCATATATACTTAACTGAGGTATTTTGTAGTGGATATATGTATGTATAATTAATTGCTTCAGTAGAGCACGATGCAAGGGTAGAATATTTTTTTATTTATTAACTCAATACAGTTTTCTTAATGTGCTCTATTAATTACTTTGGTTTTTTTTAGAGAAAATATTGTTTTGATAAGTGTTTTGCAACTATTGCAGTACGTACAAAATTAGTGGCACCACCTTTTTTTTCTACTGTACCCGTGCTTTCAGAAAATGTGTGGTTTTGGGGTATTTTACAAAAATTCAAAGTGGAGGGCAGGGCCTGGCAGAGAAAGGGTTAACAATGAATCATTAAAAAAAAAATTGTATAATTTTTTTTTTGCAAAGTCAAAAGCAAAGCTTACATAACCCACATTACCCACAATCCCTCCTAGGCTGAACACTCTTTTCCTAGTAGTTTTACACATCTAGACATCACACTCCAAACCCGCAACATAAATACATATCATTTGCTATTATAATGCATCACTATATCATCATATTAGCTTACATTTAATGTCATCAGAGGCTCATATACAGAGCTTTTTGTCTTCTCGCTTGCCTTTTTGAATTGCAGAGGACATTGTAGATATCGGAAGTTATATTCAATCTAATACAAAAATAAATAATCCAATGTAAATATCACAGACTATGGAGGGATATGATACCGTGTTTCCCCGAAAATAAGACAGTCTTATTTTTTTTTTGCACGAAAAAAGACAAGATGTACATGTTATGTAACTCACATAGAAATTTGGACTCTTTTTGTCTCCATTTGATTCCATCATGCATCTGTCCAAGAGATTCTGAAAGGCAAAGAATACATAGATTACTCTTCTTTAGTATACATAGAATAAATAGATATTATTTCATACTCTTGTCTAAATAATGAAAAACTTTTTAAATAAAGGAGGTAGACCACCAAGACCATCAGCCTAGAACTTTCTCACAGACATGTTGTTTGTATAAGGGTGGGTGTATCCTGGCAGTCTGAGGCTGTCTGAAACCGTATTGTGCCTGAACCATACAAGTCTTGCATTCGACTGTTTTGCCAAATGCAAAAGAAACCAGCTGCAAATCACATGTCCCTACAGGTATGCTTTGCACTATACATAGCATAGTTCAAAGCCCAGTTGGACTTTCAGTTTAAAGTTGCTAAATATAAAGTATATATTGTGCACAGTCTTATATAGTATTTTTTTTTTAGAAAATAGCACAACCTAAGTAGAAAAGCCTGTCCGCTGCCAGCATACTATGGAGAAATACCTTTGTTCTCTGTGTAGATGTCGTGGTCTCCCTGCAGTGGCCAGACAGGCAGAGTCAGAATTAGAACTCTACAATTAGTAGACATGTGCACTGCCAAAAAATTTGTTTCGTTTCGTTTTAAATTCGGATTTGTGTTATTTCGTTTTTCAGGATTCGGGTGTGAAAGTCAATTCGGATTCGGGATTCGGATGAAATTCGGTAGCGTTAGTACGAACGTTCGTTTTGTTTTCTGTTCTTATTCGTTTCTTATTCGTTTCTTATTCGTTTCTTATTCGTTTCGTTCGTTTGCAGCAAAAGTGACATTTGAGGGGGAAAAAATATTTTTCTCCTTCTCTAATGTCACTTTGCTCCAACGAACGAAACGAATAAGAAACGAATAAGAACAGAAAACGAAACAAACGTTCGTGCAAACGCTACCGAATTTCGGAAATGGAAATTCGGATTAGTTTGCATTCGTTATGTCTGTAATTCGGAATTCGGATACATCCGAATGTCCGAATTTACGAAAATTCGTCCGAATTTCGATTCGGAACGAAACGAATCGCACATGTCTAACAATTAGCAGGGAGTGAGAGCTATGCTAAATAGCAAAGCCATAGGTCAGACTCACAAGGAGGTGTATCAGACCTCTGCAGAGAGACCATTGTAATTGGTAAACATTTGCATTCTACATTAAAATAAAATTGATACTTACTTTGAAGCTTTCTGGCTGATGATAAACCATTTCAAGTATAGGGCACTTGTAGCTAGAAGTATCTGAAAATGTTGCAAGAACCTCCTCCCACCTGAAGAATAATGAATAATGAATATTTACAGTGTTATTGGAGAAAAAAAAAAAAAAGGAGGAGCCAGCGAAAGGAACAATTACATTTACAACTCATATATTACATATTTGAATGTTTCTTTGCATATATAGCCCTGCAGACCCCTTACCACTACACCTCATGTCACAGGGGGTTGGAGATTTCAAAGTCACACTAAACTCAGGAGTTAAACCTAAAAATACATTCAAGTACCTTAACATTTAACAAAATTGTATCTTATTTGTGCATCACTGGGCTGTAGAACCTCAAATCATCTCTGAATGCATGCTAAAGCTGTCCTATCTTCTGGAGGGTGGCTACTTTTGTTCCCCATGGACCCTGTGTGTGTTGTAAAGTTTCCACTGCTCCAAACGCACTCCCATGATGGACTACAATCTCAATACAAATTAGTAAAAAAATTACTAATTTGTATTGAGCTCTTAAAGCTGGAATACCCGTTCATAAGAAGATTTTATGACCGGCTCCTTTGATCAGCTGATCGAGGGATGCTGGCCGAATGGGTGCTGACAGTGAGAATTTTGGTTGTTCATCATGAACTGGCCAAAATTCACACAGTGTATGGCCACCTTAACACTAAACTCCAACCAAAACTTTCAGATCGGGGATGGGTTTGCAGGGTTGGGCAAACTCCGGCTCTCTAGCTGTGGTGAAAATACAAATCCCATCATGCATCTGCCTCTAGGAGTCATGCCTGTCTCTGTGAGAATCTTGCAGTGTCTCATGGGCTACATTTTGCCTACCCCTGGGTTAGAGTCAGGTTTTTACGGCCATCTATTTCCTTCCTGTTTGTAAGCATGGGAAGTGTTGGGATCTCCAATGGGAAGAGACAAAAAAAAAGATATACTCACCCAATCCTAGGTCTCGCGGCAGTGACTGCTCACCTTTCTCTCCCTGTGCTCCAGCTGTGGAATGTCCCTCAGACTCCTCATGCCTAATGCAAGTGGATGGATGTGCTGACATTGCCGTTGCTAAGACTGCCAGAGCCTGGAGGAGCAGAGGCTGCAGGGACCGGTCTAGCAGCCAGGATACTAGATCGGGTGAGTATATCTTTTTGTATTTTTGACCCTAGACCAAAATGAGCACATAACCCTTGTAGTGCGGGGGTAGCCTCACTGCAAGGGTTAATTTTTGGGCATGCCGGGAATTCTTTTCTTTAACTTTAACTTTGTTCCTTAACATTTAACCACCGCCCCAACCCTAACACTTAACCTAAACCTTACGTAAGCCCTTAAAGATATTCTGGGGTTGATTTACTTAAGAAAGAGACAGTTCTTCCATCATCCTTTCATGTGCAATTTTTATTTTCCTTGCATGTGATTGGATATTCTTTGCAAAGTGAAATTTCACCACATTCACAAAGCTAAGGGGAAACGTTCCCTGCAAAGTGCAAATTCCCTATTTCCCTTTCCCTAAAAAACTGCTGAGGGTATAAATTACAGGTACCTACCGGTGTCTGCACATATCCGCAGCAGCTTAAAAAAAGCTTGCACATATGGCCGAATGCTGGGCATTTGTGATAGACAAAGCGGCAATATTTTCTCATATTACTAAATGTTGCCCGCTGTTTCTTGCACCTGCACATTCCTATTGGCCAATGAGGGTGCCTATCATATTGATGGGCCAATATGATCGTGAATTCTCCACCACTAGCTTTGCCTGTCACAACAGCCCATTACTCTACTATATCTAAATACTTTTTGAGACTGCTGAAGCTATGTGCTTGTGACCCTAGGTACCTGCACTGCAGCAGTATTTTAGATTTTTTTTCTTTAACACAGGGGTCTCAATGTGCCGCCTCGTGGTCCGATTCCGTCCCACGAACCGGTAACATTTGGCCCGCAGCAGGCTGTCAAGTCACTGTCCACAGATTTATGTCAGTGTTAGTTAGTAATTTTCGTACTACTAGCTTTGTCTGTCACAACAGCCCATTATTCTCCTATATCTAATGGCTTTTTGAAACTGCCAAAGCTATGTGCTTGTGACCCTACATATCTGCCCTGCAGCAGTATTTTAGATTTTTTTCAAAGTCTCTTCAACAATGGGGTTTCAAAGTACCGCCTCGTGGGCCAATCCTGGCCCACGAACTGGTACCATTCGGCCCGCAGCTGCCTGTCAAGTCACTGTCCACAGATTTATGTCAGTGTTAGTTAGTTATTTTTTTGTACTGTAAATCTTCTAAAGAAAAGTAAGAAATGTAGCATATATTTTAACAACATTGTGACTGTGGACCATTTACAACTCTTTCCAAATATAATATAGTTTCCTTTTTTTCTTTACCTTTCACTTTGAATTGCAGCAGATACAACATCCTTACTCCCTGCACGTATAGCCTCATGAACGAAGGATGCTTCATTTGCATTTAAATTGATAGCAGCCCCACTTTCCAGCAATAAAGCAACCGCTTTGGCATGTCCTTCTTTAGCAGCCAGGTGCAGTGGAGTGTTCTTAAATAGAGAATGTATAATGTTAGTAGCTTGTTCTCCCTTTTTCAGGCTTTTCTAATAAGGCAGTGGATAGATCATGTGCAGTAAACCACAGCAAAAAAAAATCACAAATCATTCACTGATCTGACTATGGTAAGCCATATTTTGCAGATAATTACTACTTTTTGGACTGGCTTATTAAAAAGGTGTGCTTTCTAGTCTGGTTTTGTCTGGTTAGCTGGGCGTCACCTTTTATTACCATCATATCCGAGCGGAGGATGTTTTGACCCAGTATTGTTGACCATATTGTGCTGCTACAGCAGTGGAAGTCATGGATCTGGTTGTGTTGTCTGGCAGGGTTACCTGGATCCCAATCCACATGGAAAAACAGACACTTAGGGGGTTATTCACAAAGCTGCCGAAGGTAGCCGAGTGAATAAACCAGCTGAAGTGAAGGGAGCCGAACTACGTTCGGCTATGCACTCCGGCTCAGTACGGCTTATTTCAGCCGTACATCGGCTGAAATCGGCCGTACATTGGCTGCCTTCGGTTGCACTTCGGTCAGCCGAACATGCAGAGCAACCGAAGCTACGGCTGGATCCTTCGGCTCCTTTGTGAATAACCTTGTTAATTTTTTTTAATTACAGTGCACCACAACACACAGGTGGTCATATCTGCGCATTGTGCTGCATAACCTTAATCCATAATGAATGACACTGCAACACACTAAACTGTGTGCAATGCATTGCACTAATGTGCAGTAACTGCAATGCAATAGTGTAAATGAGCCCTACAAGACTTACACTCATTGATAAGATTATGTACCTTGGGTATACCACATTTATATAGACATCCTGAAAATTTGTGAAAAAAAATTCTAGGTTTGGTTTTAGTAAGCGGTAGAAGCAAACTTCAGTTTATCCTTACAAACCTGGTCCATGACATCTCGAATGATTAACCTCACATTTAATTTCTATATTTGTGCTTCCATATAAGGAATAACATGGGGGTTGCCAGCACACTGGCAGATTAGTGGACCAATGGATCATTTTTCAGAAAGGCTGATTCAAACAACATCTTGGCAAAGTATCCTGCTGTCTAGAGAGATAATTTATTAGACTATGGGGTCTAATCAACAAACTGCCGAGGGCAGACGAGTGAAAGACCGATCTGAAGTGAAGTGAGCCGAACACTGTTCGGGCCATTAACTTCAGGCTGGTACGGCTAATTTCAGCTGTACATCGGCTGAAATCAGCCGTAGATCGGCTTGCTTCGTGTGGCTTCGGGTCGGCCGAACATGCTCAGCATGTTTGGCCGACCCGAAGTGCAGAAGGAGTTCGACTCAGCTGATCCAACATCTGGATCGGCTGAGCCGAACCTCCGGCAGGCTACTCACTGCTGTTCGGGCTATTCTTAAAGATCCCGAACAGCAGTGAGTGAATAGCCGAATGCCACCGAGCGGCATTCGGCTCGGCTGTTCTGCTCGGCCCCTCAGAGGCACTGAGCAGAACAGAAAAATTACAAAAAAGTACAAAAAAAGTTAATAGAAAATGATTGTGCGGAGCTAGCAGTGACAGCTAGCTCCGCCCAATAGTTTCCTATTGTCCGGCGGCTCTGCTGAATCATTTTGTAGAAAGCATTACTGTGTAATAAGCATTGTTTGTGCATTTTCAAAATTACCTTTTCTTTGTCCGGCTTATCAATGAGAGAAATAGATGTATCCAAAAATGTCCTGATAGTTCGCGTATAGCCTCCATGTGCTGCATAGTGCAGACCTGTCCATCCACAATGGTCGCTGAGTCACAAAGAATACATCAGAATAATGAGTATGAAATATACAATATTAAAGTAGATGAAGCCCCAGTTTTAGTGCTGTGTATCATAAACAATACTATTTTTTTTACAAATAAAATATTTGTATTCATCGTTTTTCATCCTGTGTTGCATCTCAGTTCTTCTGATCTCCTACAGGCTCTTCCTGTCATGCATGTACTTCAGTGATGGCTGCATAGTATGTCTCAGGGTGGGATTCCTGATGGTGATAACAGTAGGCCGTGACTTTGAAATGAGTGTTGAAATGGACACTTGAATACCTACCTCTCACCCCCCCCTCCCTTTTCTCCATAAGACAAGGAGGGAGCAGGTGTTCTGCTGTTCAAAAATTAGCTTTTTAGTGCAGGCCCCCTCCCTTTTGCTAAAACACTGCAATAAACGGCAAAACAACAAACAAAACATGGTTGTAAAGACGTTGCAGTACGGTGCAGGATCATCTTGGTACGAGATTTAGGGTACACATCAATTAATGAGATCTTGCCAGAAGGATGGTGGCATCATTGTGTGTGTGTGACTCATTAGGTAGTAAAATAATAAGCATGACCGCCCTGGAGCCTACAGTTTTAAAAATAAGTCAGCAGTAGTGTCTCCCATATTTCAATCACTGCAGGTTTTCTACATGCACATATTTGCATTTTTTAAATAAAAAATTATTTTAGAAAATGAAAGTTTAAATTTAGTGGCCCTTTAACTTTGTAACTTTGTAAAGGTGCCCATACCCCTTTCGGTCCTGATTTATCACCCAGCTTCCCGATAATCGGGGCACACAGCACCGGTATCAGTACTCGGTATCAGCAAGTACCAGAAAAAAAAAAGTATCGGTACTAGTACTCGATACCAAAAAACAGGTATCGGCACAGCCCAATTAAAAAATATATAGCTGCATTTAATGGAGAATTTGTATATCTACCTGGAGTTCAGCTTTAAAGGGAAAATAAATGGAGAACTGAAATGGGTCACTTCACCTGCTGTCACTCTTATGACTGTATGATAGTGATTTATTTAATAACGTGATACGAAGCAATGGTTTGCAATAATTAATAGCAAACATATATCAGCTCATAACCAATTGGTTACTATGGTGCACTTGTGTTCCTTGCAGACATACTAAAAGCATCCCATCTATACAGACATATTTTTTATTACCGTATGTTTGCTGTATTCACGCTATGTATAGTACATTGGTATTCTTTGCTGACGCATGAAAAGTTTTGCATGGGTATAGACATATTTTGTTACCTTAACATGAGGGCTCCCTTCTTCAGCAGAAGATAAACTATTTTGTCATGGCCATTTTGTGCAGCCAAGTGCAAAGGTGTCATTCCCGTTTCATCTGCATCATTGAGAAGCCTGGCATCGCAGGCAAATCTCAGAAGTCTCTCACAGGTGTTGTAACGGCCGTAGCTAAATTAATGGGGAAAAAATGAGTACCTAATTACAATAAGATCCGGTAATATGATTATATAATAAGATAATGAGGAAGTAATGGAGATGTACTGTGAACAGTAGCAGTAAAACAGCATATAAATGTTTAATGAATGCAAGGTGGAAAATGAAACTTGAAATAGAAACCCAAAATGCATTTACTGTTTTCAAATACATGTATCTAAACCAAATAAAATTGAAAGAGGTGAACTGGAAAAATGGCTGTATTCAAGTGTCCAGAAAAAATGAATAAAAACAAAACAGCCCTATCTGTATCGCTGTATGACTTTGTCAGGAGGACGGGAGCTTCAGATAGGCTCCTGTGCAATGTCATGTGGTGAAACATGTAGAGCATTGGCAGAGAGATACATCTCCTCTTGGTCTCAGTATTATTGGAAAGTTGTAAACCAGGTGGGCATACTACAGGACATTTAGTGTCATCTTGTGGTTGTGCCAGTGTGCCAACTAAGCTAAGAGACAAGTGAAGACGCCAAACCATGGTAAAGCTCAGGAGTCTGACAATAAGTCAGGGGTAATGCATCTCACTTATGTGGATCCTCCAATATAGTCATTATTGACCCGATGAGGTGATGATTACCATGATCCGAAAAATGGAGGGGTTTTAAATGAGAACTAGTAAATAATGTGCAGCAAATCTGTAATTGTTTCTTTATATCTGTGTGTTATTTTTATCAATATTAGGCTATGAACACACAATTTGTGGGCCTTTCAGTGTTTCTATTTCATCCGTTATGTTGGCATGATTTTACACATATTACTTCTATAACGGTTTAAAACAAAAACATTACGTTTATTGGGAAGTCATTGTAACATGTTAGGTTTCATCACACAATATATTGTAATAGTGTGTTCACTACTAGTATTTGATTTTTATTGATAGCAGAAAGACACATTAGGTTTACATTCATGCACTATTTTATTACTTATGATTGCACTTTGGTTCATTTATCTATTCTAGCACTGTGTATTTTTACTATCATATGTATGTTCTTTTTGAGATACTGTGTGTACACAGATCAAGAGATGTCAAGAGATGTCACCAGCACACCAAAAATCCTTGCAGGATGACCATGTGTTAATTTAATAAGAACCATGTCAAGTAAAAACAAGTGCTTTCGGGGCCACGCAGGGTCCCTTCATCAGGCTTAAAGGAGAACTATGAGGTGAGTGCTTTTCACTCACCTCATAGTTCTAGCCGACCTGTGACAATGAGACTGTCACAGGTCGGCTCAGTAGATCGGGAGATGAGCGAACACATACCGGGTTTGCTCACCTCTCGATCCTGTCACGGCTCTCTGCCGTGGCAGGGGGAGGGGCTGGATTCCCCTCTCCCCGCTCCGATCTGCCAGCGCTGACTGGCGGAACGGACGGGGGAGGGGGCGGGTACAGCTGGCTCTGCCTCTAGATAGGCAAAGCCAGCTGTCACTCACGCAGCTGGGCGGATCCCATCGTCTAAGTCGGGATCTGCTCCGGCTGCGGCGTCTCAGTATACCGCGAGCTGTAGCTCGCGGTATACTGAGCTTAGGGTAACGGGAGGATGCTAGTTTGTGTCCTCCCGTTACTCTAAGGAGAACTATGGGGAAAAACACTGACCCCATAGTTCTCCTTTAACATTGTACACACACACATACATACATACATATATTGTGGGAATTCGCTCCAAATGGTAGCACATTAAGGACGGAGTCCACTCACAAACATGTTCTTTTCAGGCCTTCTGCCCCCTGTTATTTAACAGTACACACAAGTTTTCCCTCACAGGGGTTGCTCCAACATAACTCCTGCCAAAATAATGTTTTTTCCTAGTCTCACTAACTTCAGGTTACTACTTTCAACCTCTCCCAAACAGGCTGCATCCTACAGATTTACCACACAGGCTAGTTCCAGGATGGAGTCCTCCTGACTTCTGGCCAGACCTCCTCTGTCACCCAGGTGGAGCCCTGAACCTGAACCAGCAGTCTTTTCATAAAGGATTGTGCACAGGTGCACCATCATTTGGTGCTGGTCACCACTAAAGCCTGGACCCAGGGATGGATATTTCATCCCTCGCAATGCTCTTTGAAATCTCCCAGTTCCAGGAACCCAAGCCAAATCCGGAAAACCTGGGAAGAACTGCAACCCAGCTCTTTCCCAGTAAAAGTTTGCACTTTCTGGAACTGCTCAGCCCCCCTGGCTGAGAGACCTGGGTGACTATATTGTCAAAAGACACCATGGCATTTCCACGCATTGCCACAATATATACAGTATATATGAGGGAGAATCAAAAAGTAAAGGCAATTTATAAATTAGGCGGTATTCAAGACAGAGAGAAGCTTTCGCAATTAAGCATATTTATGTAGCCTGTTGGATAGTTTGAGCATGCACAGTACAGCACTTGGACTTCAGCCTAGTGGTAGTCTTGTGGACAGACACAAGGACACTATGTTGCGAGATTGCACCATCGAAGAATAATATGCCATAGTGCGCTTTCTTTGTGCAGAGGGAGAAAAACCAGTTGAAATTCACCACCAGATGTTTGCTCAGTATGGTCAAAGCACGATAAATCAACTAAAGGTTAATGAGTGTGTAGAAAGATTTAGAGTCGGAAGAACAGGCTTAATCGACTAAGCTAGTTCTGGTCAGCCATCAACATCGTGCACACAAGACCACAATGACAGAACGAATGCCTTGATCAGAGAAGACCAACAGATAACAGTGACTCAATTGGCTGCATATTTGGATATCAGCTATGGATACGCATTTGCCATAGTGCATGATGGCTTGGGATACAGGAAAGTCTACACATGATGGGTTCCCAAACATCTTACTACTTCGCACAAGGAACAGTGCGTGGGAGGTTGAGACACAGTTCTTGAGACGGTATGAAGAAGATCGGAGTATTCTGGAGAGAATTGTCACCAGCAACGAGGCATGGGTGCACCATTACAACCCAGAGAACAAAAGGTTCACCTCAGATGATAAAGTAAAAAGGAAGCAGTGCACACCTGGCTTCAGCAGCAGCTGAAAAGCTTTTTCTCTGCAGGAATACAGAAGCTAGTGGAACGATAAACAAGCACATCATCTTGCATGTGGAAAAGCGATATGTTCAAGTGCTCACAGTTAGTTCTATTAAAGCCGTTAAATGTATTTTGACTTTACTTTTTGATTCCCCCTCAAATATACAGTATATGTTATTGTTTTGTATGAAATATGGTAATCTTACCAAGCAGTAAAATGCAGAGCTGATCTTTTATCCTTACTCTTAGAATAAAGGGACACATTTAGTCCCATCAGGTTATTCACAGAATTTGGAACTCCATGGCGACAAGCATAATGTAGAGGTGTACAGCCATCTGCATCTTCATCACTGACAAGTTGCTTGATGGCTTCTTTCTGTTGCATGGGCACATATATATATAGATAATTTAGAATGTCAATCTTACCATATGCTTATCAGTTGTGTCAATATATGCAATGTAATATACCTGTAGAATTTCAGCATTAATGTTTCTTAAACCTCCGGGTTGTAAAACTGTCATATGAAGAAAATTCCGCCCATAATTATCCATTAGCTTTACATTTGCTCCTAAAACAAGAGCAGTAAAATGCAACATTACATTAATGCTACCATATTTGTAGCTTTTTTGTTTTCCTTATACATTTTCAAGGACCAGACATTTTTAGGGCTTACAATACATTATTTCCTACTAGTCAAAAGCCAATCAAATTCTAAATTATCTAAATTGACAAACTGAATCTGAATACATGCGGCCAGAGGGATGTACAATTCACAGAGTATAATTGTAACATGAATTACAAGACTTTCACCAGATCATACAGATATGCAGTAATATACTCAGACTAATTAAAAAAATAAAGAATTCCTGACCTTCCTGATCTGACAATTAATACATTCCGCAGCATGTGGTTATTTAAGTGTAGTTCCACTTTTGAAGTCAAATTTGAGAGAACCCCACTATGTCTGTTTTGTGCTCCTATTCACACAGAATATAGAAAAATAATTTTGAGAAATATATTTTATTACCATTTAGCTGTTTCTTTGGTGAAGGCCTTTGTGCAGATTCCAGGCTACTTACAGCAGTCCTAAAGTGAATTTAGAGGGTCAAACTGAGAGATGAACTGAGTTCCTCTCATCAAGACACAATGCGTCTAAGCCTTTAATCCTTTGTTAGATAGAGAGTGTTCAAATCTAGTTTACAACTGATGATGGAATCTGCCAGCACAGTACAGACAGGATTAATTAGAGGAAACATAACTTCGGACAGCCCCCTCCTTACCCTTACATAGGAGGAGGCTAGGTAGGATTTTTAAGCATGCATAAAACACATAAATGAAAGAGGCAATTTTTTTTAAGCTATGCAATGTGGATGGGAACAGATAACAAACATAAAATAGCTGTTATCCCAATTTGGCTGCAAAAGTGGAACTACACTTTATGGAGAATATATACTTTTTTATTGTCAGCACTTAAAATAATTTTTTTAGCTAGGCAACCATATTAATATTTTGTATTCTTATTTATAGCCAATAGGTGGGGTTTTAGACTCCCTTTCACATGTTTCTCCTTACAGTGTGCTGTAAAAAGCCTGTTGTTTGCAGAGATCAATAGCGCAAACTGAACTTTTACACACACACATAAATATGTCAGGACAGTGACTTTTCAACAAGAGCAACCCCCCCAAGCCCACCCCCCCAAGGTTTTTTGCATTGGTACATGTCCCACATGGCAGCTACCCATCCACTTTTTCACATAAGCTTGCAAACTGGGGCCAGAAAAAATTCAAAATTTGTCTGCCGTAGACTTCAATGGGGTTTGACCTCTATGTTCGAGTTTTGTGGATTTCTCAATGGATTTTGGCTTATCACTATTTCTTTCCTATTCACTTATACTCCCATGTTACATTTCATGAATGATATCTATCCATTGGTGAGTATGGATTTACCTGACATTTACTAAAACAAATATGTGTTATAGTTTGGCCCACACAGTCAACACTAGATTTTGTTACTCTGTTCACATACCAATCACAAGTACCACATTGTTTGATAAACAGAAAATCAAGTATGTCCTACAGCCTGATTACAATGTTGTGAAGTATTAAAATGTATACAAAACATGCAAAACTTTGATGTCTGCTTTCACATAACTTGAATGATAGACACAAAGAGATTGGTTTACTAAAGGAATAGAGACGGTTTACTAAAGGAATAGAGACTGTTTACTCAGCAAAGTGCATGTTCACATAGCATAGTGATAAGGTTAAGTTGTGGTTACTTCAAATGTCCAGTCAAGTGCAAGTAAAAATCAATTTTGTTTATATTTCCTTTTCACATGAATGAGTATTCAAAAGGTACATATGATCAGCTTTTTGACTAGACTAAGAAAACTTTCACTTTGATAAGCGAACAGTCAATTTCCATTAGTAATTCAATCTCAGGGAGTCATTATTTGGTTGATTAAAAATGCAGATGGCAGAGGAAAGCTTATTCCTAGATATGATAGACATTAGGACAAAACCACCAAATAAGGGCTAGACTATAATTTCCAATGCTATATGTTTAGTAACATCTAGGAGGACAGAGATGGCCTGTGCTATAGGATCAGGTTTATTTAATATGGCAGATCTAAGGGCAGTGATCTTGTACACATTGCAGCAACACCCAGGGCCGGATTTACTCTCCCTGCAGCCCCAAGGCCAGGTTCTGCGATGCGCCCCCCCGCCCGCCGAATGTTTCTTATTATTTTTTACTTTTAATCACCTTTTTATTTTTTTATTTAATTATTTCATTTTTTTTTAACATTTTTATTTATTTCATTTTTTTTAATCAATGTTATTTTTTTTCACCTAACTTTATTGCTATCACACAGGAGAAAACAATCCACTGTGTGATAGCAATTGGAGGTGACAGGTTCTCTTTATTGACCCTGTCACCTCCAATACAGGAGTTCTAGCACATCACTGTGCTGGAACTCCTGTGACAGGTGAGAGAGGAAGAGCACAGCTCTCCCCTCTCACTGTCTACAGTCTACACGGAGCGGCAGGGTTACTTTTAACCGCTGCCGCTCTGCTCACTGCAGTGAGGAGAGAATCGGCAATGGTGGACGGAACCAAAAGAGAGAGGTAAGTGCAGGGGGGGGAAGGGGAGGAGGCTGCACACTGTTTACATGTGAACTCGGTGACATCGCCGAGTTCACATGTAAACGAAAAATCGGCTGCCTCACTCTACATTTAGTCCTGCTTGTACAAAGCAGGACTGAATGATGAGAGGGCAACTTCCCCACAAGGACACCGCTGCCGCCCCTCTGCGCCCTGCCGCCCCGAGGCCGGGCCTCGGTGGCCTTGTGGGGAATCCAGGCCTGGCAACATATGGCAAACAAGCATGACGCCAGAATAAACATTTCTTTAGCCTGAAGATAGTAGTTATGATGTTTACCCTTCATCCTGTCACAGGCTTGACTTTCACGTGTTCTCTCTCCACCTTGCCCACACATTTGTAACCCCAATACCAATGGCTTCTCTACTACCTATTAATTGTAGTTAACAAAATCAGGAAATTAGAAAAAGTAATTCCTTTCAGCTCTCTGCAGGCATTGGCAAAGAGACAGATATGAAATTTCAGTTGGTGTGTAGAGAACGTGAGGTCATTTTACGAAGAAGAATTATATATAGGTACACAGGTAGTAAAAAGTGACACATCCACATTTCTTCATATCTAAGGTTCCAATGATGTGTACTACAAATAGTTAAATGAAAGGGGAGAATTAATTACAATTGACAATGATATATTTCCCAGAAAGGTCAATGGAAATGTAGGCACTGCAGTAAGCCATAAACTCAATAAATGAAACAAAATAAATGAATGGCAATATAATAATCATAAAACTGTACCTAGTAAATCATTGAAGATTAACCAGGTAAATTCAGATTTATGTGAGCAGGAAAGGAAGTTTACAAGGTGACTTTTAGGAAATGTTGTTGACATATGATAAAGGGAGAGAAATGTATACATTTCAAATCAACGTTTATATTTTGGTATTTTGAGATGAGGAAAATCTTATTTTGAAGTTGAGAAGTAAGATTCAAGGTTTGACACAATAACGTTATTGGATTAAGTGTCTAGGACTAACACTGTACCTTTTTCAAGAAGTAAATTCACAATTTTCCAAGCAGAGCATGAAGTAGCTAGCATCAGAGGTGTACGGAACTCGTTATCGACACTGTCAATATTTGCTCCCTGTAAATAAGAGAAGGAGGTGAGTACACAATGGATCAATGCTACAATTAAACAGGCAATAATCGGTCTCCAGCCTGTCTATGGAAAGGAGATACGTTAACTCATGATTATTAATGGGCTAATAGCTACACAGAACCACAGAATTACTTTTTGCTTTGTTTAAGTTGAACAGCAAAAACAGAAAAGCAAACAAAGCAAAAAATAAACTGGTCCAATGCTTTGGGAGATTTATAACAATAGAGTCTGTGCCAAAACTAGCAGGGCAGAAGCAACAGCAGTTTTTCCTGAACCTGTCCCATGATGAGGCTCAGAAGGTAAATAAAAGAGGAGACACACCAAGCAATTCGTATATAAGTAGCCAAAACTTAATAAGATAATTAATTCACTAAGCTGTAATGTTCCTTATAAGCAATAACAACTGTGACTTTAAAGAAGAACTTCGGGCAAAACTTTTATTAACCTTGCAGTGGGACTACCCCTACACTGCAAGGGTTAACTGCTCGTTTTGGTCTAGGGAGGAAAAAAAAAAAGCTACACTCACCCGATCCTCCAAGCCAGCTTGCTTTTAGACCTTTCAGCTTTGCTCCCCCCCTACGCGAGGGAGATGGGGATATGAGTTAAGTATTGATAAAGTTATCGATTATACCTCTTAAAGGATGCTGTTTAGGTGGTACCAAGCTAAGGGGGACCAGCATGGGGGGAGGGCTTTAAAGAGGGGTGCAGGGAAAGATCAATTAGAGGCCGAGAGAAGCAAAATCCAGTTTAAATAAATGGTCAGGTACAGTATTTCCTTTTTTTTGCTTTTATTTTGAATATGAGAAAAAACTCTCTATGTCTGCATGCATTGCTCTCAGTGTCTTAAATGGTGCCAGTAGTAAATTACATATATTAGAAGGTTTTGAAATGAAACAATTTCATGGTATTTGTTCTGTTAAATAGTTAATACCATAATAACGAAGTACAAGTAGGAGTACAAGGAAAAGAAAAAGAAGAACAATCTACAACCATTTATAGATGTTTATAGCGTGTATTTTCACCACTGTTGTTCGCTATGAAGAAGCAAACTAAAGTCAGGTAATGCTAGCACCAGAACAACTAATCATATATTGATTAATCCATTTTATCTATTGTCAGTACTAGGGGGGTGATTTATAAACCATTTGCAAATGAGATTTGCAGCACATTATGGTTACTAGATGAAGCCCGAGGAACATAGACATTTCTATGCTCTTCAGCTCCATCTAGTGATCTTACTGTACTGTGAACCTCATTTATATAGCTGTTTCCTATGTAAACAGTTGATAAAACACACTCTATGTCATTTTAGCAAACTCCCAGCAAAAACATTTTTTAACTCTTGAAGTGGGGCTACCCCTGCACTGCAAGGGCTAACTGCTCTTTGTGGTCTAGGGAGGAAAGCAAAAACGTTATACTCACCCAATCCTTTGAGCACAGTGATCATATGTCCATTGGTGTCCTCAGGTCCTCTGCACTGTATACGGAACACGCTGACTCAGAGACCTGAGTGGAAGTGAAAATTGATCGACCGGTCTAAGAGCAAGCCGGGAAGGGTTAATAAAAATTTTGCCCGGAGTTCTTCTTTAAGTCATGAATGTGAAAGCTTATTTCGTATGTAACAACATGGTTTTACCAAGTGCAAGACTTCAAGTCTGTTGTTTCACTAATAGCATTGCTTGTACTGACTTTAACCTATCTTAATGATTAAATGCTGTATAAAAATTTAACTTTTGTTTGCTGTACAAAATGGGATGAGCAAGAGAAATCACTTAAATCCCCCAAGCACACTAAACAGTGAAGATGGAGGGATCTTCTCTGACGGCTATTGTATTCTGTCAACCGGCAACTGACTGGCTGCAGTTGATGTTTGGTGGACTATTTCCCATCCGGCTTTTTCAACAAAAGTTGATTGATAAATTGACTTTTGTCAAGCCTGGTGGTGCTGGTAGTGCCTCCTGCACACCAAATTCAGCAGGAAACGGCCAAAATTCGATCCTTGTATGGTCAGCCTTAATCCAATGTATCTTATTTTCATTCATTAATCTCAATTGACAACTGTAAAGTTTAATAATATTTGAACTGTTATTTTGTCTTCAATTAGCACTTCAGTTGGATTTACTGAGCTCTTTTATAGTATATTTATATTATTTTTGATTCTATGATTCTATAAATCTACGATTTATTCTTCACTGCTGGTTGGATGTATCATTATTATAGATAACTTTCTGTCCTGAAACTAATTTGGCTTTCTACATGGTAACTCAACGTTTCTTTTTTTTTTTTAATATTACCTTTTATTAGGCATTACAGAAAACTAACTCAATGTTTGTACTAGGGGCCAATTTAAAAAACAGTGAATCTATTTAAAAAAAACTAATTCTAAGCTAAAATTTGAATGCAATGACTTCCCAAATTTACAAAAATCCTTATTACCAAAAAACCCCTTTATTATTTGCCTTTTTGAGCAGCAGCAGGCAGGAAGAGAGAAGATTTATACACACCTTGAAGTGCTGGACTATTTAAATTAATCCAGTGCTTATAACTCTGCAGTTATTAAATAAAGTAACTGTAAGTTAAATGCAAGTACTCAGTTCTCAGGGCAAAATAGCTCAGATGAAATTAGTCTGAGGGTGAATGTTGTAAAGCCAAAGCTTTATTGTTACTGCTGCTTTCTAATGGCCCACCAACATTTGGTGAATTAAGCCATCCACACATTTTAAATTAAAAGGCAATTCCTTATTGTAAATGTATTATCTCAATTAGCATGAAAACCAGAACCAGGAAGGTAATGTGGTACAGTTGTCATATCCTCTATAAATGTAATTAGTTAATTATTTAGTCAGTTAATATAATTAATTTCTCAAATACACTTAACCCAGATGGTCAGTGTTTAACCCCTTCATGACTGAGCTAGTTTTTAGTTTCTGTTCCTAAATGACTGACACACTTTTTACATTTTTGCTGTGTGATTCTTCCACAGCAGCAAGTTTTGATTATTATTATTATTTTTAGAATTTTTTTAATAATAATTATAGTATACAAATATATTTATATATAAATGTTTTATGTTCCTAATTTTTTGTACAC